CTCACCTGAGAACTGAATTAATAGAGTATGAAGAAGGAACATGATGCCTTCATTTCAAGAATTGGTACTAGAGTATTTCAAAAAATATAAATTCTCCACAAGTAGAAGGTAATATTTTGTAGATATGACTCTCAGGACAATTCTATTAATCTTATTAAGCCCTACATGATGTTTGATTTTGATTAGAACACACAGGTAATATGAACATCTGCTTTTTCAGTAAAAGAAAAAGACTAAAACTTCTTAAAGAACCTTCAAGGAGAAACAGTCTAGTATGATATTTCAGAACCAGACTGCCTGGGATCCTCATCTGTAAAAATAACGAGAACCCATCATATAAGGTTTTTGAGGTTTAATTTAATTAATATAAAACACTTAGAATAGTGCTTGGTCACGTACTATAATACTATCTAAATCACTGATTCTCAACAGATGGTGGTTCCAACATGAGCAGGAAATTTTATTATTCTAATTGGGATGATACAGGCATTTAGTGGAGAAACAGGGATGCTAGACATGTTACATGATTTTTGAATGTCCCAGTGAAATTTAGAAATAGCTCAAAATGTGGGCACATTTCAAGATAGGAGGTATGTTTTTTGCAGTCTTTGTAAGTACTCCATCCTCTGGCATAATGGTGAATTTTGATAATATCTACTAGTATATGAACACTGGCTGATTTGTAGAGTACTATCCTTCCTATAATTTGTTTTGTCCTATTACCTCTATTTTGATTAACATTATTTCCCTTTTTCATTTACCACATTTAGGTGTTTTGTTCTGTTTTTTATAAATGTTTTGATTTTTAGAGAGAGGAAGGGAGAAGGGGAGACAGAAACATTGATGAGAGGAACATCATTGATTGGCTGCCTCCTGCACACCCCCCACTGGGAATCGAGCCTGCAACCTGGGCATGTGACCCGACCGGGAACTGAACCAAGTGACCTACTGGTTTCTGGGTCCATGCTCAACTGCTGAGCCACATTGGCTGGGCACCAAATTTAGTTTTTTTTGTTACGATGGACATGATTTTTTATCTTAATAACAAGTTCTACCCATGGCTATGACACTGCAGAACTCCAGATGGCACTATTTACATTGTGCTCTATGCAAACCATAGTCCTGGAATTATGCGACTTGGCAGTCTTGCATCTGCCTTACATTTTTTCTGTTATCTTATTTTTTCTAATTTATTCGTTGTAAAACAGGACAAAGACTGTCTCACTATGCCTTATGTCTTCTTAAATATTTGAGTGTATATACAATGAGTGGCCAGATTATTGTGATCTCTGAACGCATAATCTGGCCACTCCGTGTACTCATGTATAAAGGAAAGCTTGCAAATCTTGATATGTCAAGGGACCAGGAGATAGTGGCCCCTGGCTTGTAAGTCCTCTGCTTCTTTCTAACTACCCACAATGCAGTTCTTATACATAGAAAAACCTTAATTTAAAATCCCAAGTCTGCGGTCAGTCTACACTTAGTGACCAGCTTATTATGTGTTCAGAGATCATAATAATCTGGCCACTCAGTGTATAATATAGTTTAGTATTTAAAAAAATGTATTCACTTATTTTATTCATTTATCTTACCATTTAAACCATTTTAAAATATATAATTTAGGGGCTCTTAACTTAGCTCCAGAACATCTTTATTATCCCAAAAGAAAACACCGTACCCGCTTGGCAGTCACGTCTATTCTCTCCTCCCCCCTATTCCTCCACCATTATCTGTTTTGTTGTTATGGATTTGCTTATTCTGCAAATTTTATATAAATGGAATCATAAAATATTTTATATTTAGCTTCTTTAATGTTTTTAAGTTTTATCCATGTTGTAATATAAATATAAATATAAATATATATATAAAAATATATATATATATACACACACACACTCTTCAATCATTTTCATAGCCGAATAATATTTCAATGACATACCACATTTTGTTTATCCAATTATTCACTGATGGACATTTGGGTATTTCTACCTTTTGGCTATTGTGAATAGTACTGCTAAGAACATTCCTTTATAAGTTTTTTTTTTGAACATTTGTTTTTAATTCTTTTGGGTATGTACTTATACCTAGGAGTGGAATTGGTGGGCCACATGTTTAGGCTTTTGAGGAGCTGTCAAACTGTTTACCACAGTGGCTACTTGCTGACCTTCAGTCTAGTTATTCTATTTAGCATTTCTTTTTTAAGCATTCACCTGCATATAAAACTACTCCCAAGATGACACAGGCTCTATGATTAGGTAAGTATTTCTCCTCTAACATGCAGACTGAGACTGTAAGAGACATTACTTTATTTTGTTGAGGTTGTTTTTGTTAATCCTCACCATAAGATTATTTTCTCCATTGACTTTTAAGGGGAAACAGAGAAACATCAATGTGAGAGAGATACATTGGTTGGTTGCCTCCTACATGTGCCCGACTGGGGCCAGAAATCAAGCCTGCAACCCAGGTATTGGATAACCGGAATCAAACCCAGGACCTTGCACTGTGCAGGCTGACGTACCAACCACTGAGTTAAACCAGCTAGGGCAGGAGGCATTACTTTAGTGCAGTGATAGGAATGATTCCTGGAATGAAAATGGCTATTTCCTCTGCCAAATTGCATAGTTGCCATTTGGCTGGTGTCCTTTCCGTGTAACTTGGCAATTCTATACTTTGAGTTAATGTAGATAGTTTCACTGAAACCATTTTCTATTGTAGTTTATCAGAATATTTTCTTTCCTTTTTACTGTCAGAGTGTATGATACTTCTCTTCCTTACTTTAAACTTCTTGACTTACTTGTATTTTCTATTTCTTTTAAAAATCTTAATTATATTGTTTTCCTTTTGGCCTAAGAAGTTTGACTTCAACAGCCAATCAGGACTGTCCTTTACTTCTAGTTGGCAAACGAAGTAATGAATTCTAAATTTAGCTTCCCGGCTACTGATAAAATGATGTTATCAACCACCAAATCTTAGTGGCTTACAAAAACAAGCATACATTTCTTGCTCCTGGATCTGTGGGAAACTTTATTTCATAATACCAGAGGGGTCCATATCTGCTCCACATGTTTCTCTTCTAAGGGCAGTAGCTACCTAGGACATCTCATCTCATAGTAAAGTGAGAGGACAGAAGGTCAAGACAAACCAAATTAAACATCTGAAGTGTCTGCTTGTGTCAGACCTGCTGATATTACATTGGCCTAAACAAGTCACATGGGTAAACCCGATAGAATGGGAAAAATCTCCTCCTTCCATGGAGGAGGGAAAGGAGAGCAAGTATTTGCTGAACAATAACACCATAAACCACAGCCCAGCAAAATAAGACAATTAGGGGCAACATAATGAGTTTTCAAAACGTTAAATTTATTAAGTTTAACTTCACTTTGAAGTTAAGCCTTTTGTCCTTTTTAAAGTAATAATTTTCTTTCTTTCATAAAATTATAGTAATTGAAGTCAGTAGAGCTTTAAAAATTCTTATCACTTAACAAAGTAAAAAGTTGGAAACCCTATGTCAGTCCCCCAAAATTTTAGGACAATTTTACTAGTCCAAAAAAATCTCAAAGTCTACAAGAAAAACACACACACAACACTCACAGACCACTGAATGTAATCCCAGGTCTGTCTGGCTCTTATTCACTATTCAGAGGCTACTCCTTGGCCTGCAAAGACACTCATTTTCTCCCTTTTCAGGTGTCATTACCCCAAGTGCTTGTGATTAGGAAAGTCTAGTTTTAGTGAACTAAAATGTCACTACTTATTTCTAGTGATCTAACTTTTATCTTAAAAATAGTTCTATTTACTCTTCAGGTCTATATATAAACTTGGTTTTATAATACTTGGGCTCATGTACTAGTAAATCTTTCTATCTCTGACGTGAAAATTTTAACAGGCAGAACATAAAGAATAATGTCCTATGACTCTAACTTTAAAAAGATGAGCTATTAGAAAGATTAAAATTTAAAAAGTAGATAGTGGCTTTACTTCCAATGTGAAAGGACACATATTTAATAGTTTTGCCTGTGCACAAGTGTTTATAAATACTACTGATTTTGTCACAGCCTGATCAAATGTTAAAACTATGCAAAACAGCAGCACAGTGTGTTTTTTTCTCTCACAGTGCTGTTGAAAGAATGAAGCAATTGGCACTCCTGTAATGACTGATTCACTCATTTCACTCCTGTCTCCACGGCCTGTTTCCACCTCCTACTCTGGCTCTTCGTCTTGTTTTTTAACTTGTATTCTCCAGCTTTAGTCATTATTAAAATGCTATAGCTGCCGAAACCAGTTTGGCTCAGCGGTAGAGCGTCAGTCTGCGGACTGAAAGGTCCCGGGTTCGATTCTGATCAAGGGCATGTACCTTGGTTGTGGGCACATCCCCGGTGGGGGGTGTGCAAGAGGCAGCTGGTCGATGTTTCTCTTTCATCGACGTTTCTAGCTCTCTATCTCTCTCCCTTCCTCTCTGTGAAAAATCAATAAAATATATTAAAAAAAAAAAATAAAATAAAATGCTATAGCTACCTCATCTATTCAAAACTGGGGTAGGATGGAAGAATGTGACACTGAAATGTGCTATATATGGAAAAGCTTATAGAATTTCAAATTTGTCAAAACACGAATTTCCCATGAGTCTTGCTTTAGCGAATGAAATTCACATTAAATGACTTACCAGAGAGGATCTGTGAAATAATGTCCCAATATGGCAACTGCCTTTTATTATCCTACTGATCTTGTCCATAATTGGAGAATTTGATCTTATATATTTAGATTTCATAAATGGTCAGATATAAAATAACAGGGAGAGAATTGTAAGGGAAGTTTCCAAAACTGGGATGAGAACTTAACTCATCAGTTTTGAAACTCACATTTGTGTCATACCTACAATTTATTTAAATGAAGTATCTGTTTATGGAGTATCTATAGAAGTTATATTTTCTCTAATTTTAAATATGCAATTCTTATTAAAGTAAAAATTTTAAAATGTCCTTGTATCATAAGCAACATACCTGCAGGTATGATCATCACTCACACTTGCAATTCCGTGGCCTTCTTTGGGGTCAAACACCAAACCATTAATGAAATCTGAATGGCCTTCTAAAATCTGACATAAGGGGAAAAATTAATAAGAACACAGGAAAAAAAAAACTACACTATTCCTACCTAATATTTTTCTTCACTGCCTTAAAAGCTTTCACTGCATGCTTCTCTTTTCCATAAATATTTCTTAGCAATCTGCTATTTTTAAAGCATGACTTATACACCCACTTTTCTGAAGGTTTTTCTTGGAAAGAAGCTGATTATTCAACACACTGCTATTAGCTTAATCTTTCTTTTCTAGTATGCATTTCTTATAAAAACACCATTTTTTTTTTTTTTTTACTGTACCTGTCCTCATATCACCTCCTCTCTCACTTATTACATAAAGTTTAAATAAAAATTAAAGCTGGAACTTCCTAGGGGCACTGAGTTAAGAGTCCCCCTCAACTATTTACTTCATACCTACTGTCTACACACCTGCTGCTGCCTAATAAAAACAGTATAACCTTCACCTTTAAGGTCTTTATTCACTTCTTCAATGTGACTGTCAGCACTGGAGATAGCCAGTATTTAGGAGAACCACAATCACAACAACCCACAAATTTGTTTCTGGCTACAGAAGGAACAAAGGGGAAGGTGCAAGGTGAGAGATTATGTGAGCCAGTAAGTTTCAATATTTTAATGACTATTGTTCTTCCTTCCTCCATGCATTTCAAAAGCTCAAATTTGATCTTAGTAATAGAGTGATTCTATTTTGAACTGCTATTTAGAAATATATCATGAAGAAAAAATTTTGATTTAAATATTCTTGTCTAACTTTTACAAACTCAAATCCTCTATACATTCTTCAAAGCTTATGCCACAGTATACAAGACAAACTAAATTAATATTAAATTTTAATGTTTATTAATCCTAGTACATTAACTTTTTTTACTCCTCCCCTTACCTGAAGATACGTTTTTTTTGATTTTTGAGAAAGAGAGGCAGAGAGAAAGAGAAACATGTATGTGAGAGAGAAACATTGATCGGTTGCCTCCCATATGGATCCTGACAGGGATTGATCCCAAAAGCCAGGATGCTCCAATCAACTGGGTCATACAGGCCAAGGCCACTTTTGTTTCGTGGTGAGAACATTTAAGGTCTACCCTTAACAACTTTCAAGTACATAATACAAAATTGTTAACTATACTCACTATAATATACACTAGTCCCAGAACTTACTCATTCCTAGAAATTATTCAGCTTATGATTTAAAGTTTGTACCTTTATACCATCTTGTCCACATTTCTCCTATTCCCCAGCCTGATTTTTACTGCAATTCTACCCTCTGTTTCTATGAGTTACACTTTTTAAAATTCCACATTTAAGTGAGATCATGCAGTCCAGTTGACCCCTGAATAATGTGGAGGTTAGGAGTGCTAATCCCTTGAGCAGTCAAAAATCTTGACTCCCAAAAAACTTAACTACCTCAGAATCTATTGGGAGTTATTGGGGGTTGGTTCCAGGACCCCTGTGGATACAAAAATCTGAAAATACTCAAGTCCTCTAATAAAATGGCATAGGTCAGTGCAAATAGTTGGCCCTACACATCAGTGCACTCCCAACTCTGGATTGAAAACAGAACAGGTACTTATTGAAAAAAGCCACGTATAAGTGTATTTGTGCAGTTCAAAACTCTATGGTTCAAGGGTCAACTGTATTTGTCTTCCTGTCTGACTTTAGAGAACTATTTCTTATAACAATAGAAAACACACATATAGGGTTTAGAGTGTACAAAGCAGTGTTCTAAGTGTTTTAGACAAATTAGTCCATAATTCTATGAAGCAGATGCTATGATTATTCCTATTTTACAGATAAGGAAATAAGTACAGAGTCTGGAAAGGTGACCAAAGTCATACTCTTTTTTTTTTTTTTAATATATTTTATTGATTTTATATAAAGAAGATGGGAGAGAGAGAGAGTTAGAAACATCGATGAGAAAAAGTCATCGATCGGCTGCCTCTTGCACACCCCCCACTGGGGATATGCCTGCAACCGAGGTACATGCCCTTGACCGGAATCAAACCCGGGACCTTTCAGTCCCCAAGCCGACGCTCTATCCATTGAGCCAAACTGGTCTCCGCCAAAGTTATACTCTTATTAAAGTGGCAGAGTTGGGTTTAAACAAAGGCAGTTTGGCCCTGTGTCTGTGCTCTTAACAAATTTGTAACCCTGCCTTGCACTATGCTGTAATGACTGTTTCTTTAAAGTTTGACTGGTATACTATGTGTGTTCATGTCCATTATACTCCTACTATATACCAACTGTGAACTTTGAATTCTCCCTCATTTACTGTGCCAACCTAATATTTTAATTTAATAAGTGATATCAGATTAATATTCTGCAGTCTTTACTAAGAACCTAGATACTTAGCCTAAAATAAACAAGACCCTAAATTACATACTTTAAAGATGATCATAAAAAGTCATCTTAAATTAGAATAAATCCAATTTAAAAAAGCAAGAAATGTTTTAAAATAAGCTGCAAATTTAGAAATTATACTTGTTAAGCATACCTTGTATTCATTTTTTTCTTGAAGATCTGATGTAAACAATCTAATTTTCATATCAGCAGCTGAAGTACAAAATCTGGAAGCAAAAGAAAAAAACAACAAACCTACTTTTAGCCACTGTAAATGCAAGTTGTCATCCAAATTCCCTCCAGTCACCAAAGCTATTTTCTTGTTTTCTTTTGGGCAGAAGGGGTATGTGGTGACTTTGTTATAAAAAATGTTATACAGCCATTATGGAAAGCAGAAGGTACTTAAATTTAAGAAAACACACAAAGTTTAGTATATTCTTGGTCTGTCTTTTCAAAAACAAAAGTGTACAGTTTTATTATAAATCAAAATACCAATTTAACGTTTAACTTTTTCTTGAGAATAAAAAGATTGATTTAAAAAGTATCCTCATTTTAGCTAGGTAATATTAGACATTAAAAACATCAGTCTTTGGCTTCTTCAGCTATCGATAAGCCTTACATTTTCTAGCCCTCTAAATAAATTAAATCAGTTCTGACTACATTAACGTTAAGCATTTTTTTTTTTCCTCAGCTGTAAACTTATTCAACAACATTCCAATAAAAAAAAAGCAAGGCTCCTAATGTGTTGGTACATGTGACCATCTCTTCTCAGTGATTGGGGAGGGGCATACAGAAGGCCTCAGTGATATGCAGGGTGGAACAAAAGTAGGTTTTCAGTTGTGAGTATAAGAAACACAGAATTTATTCTTGTATTTTTATTTATTAATTATTGTATTGTTTTCCATCCAAAGAACTATAAACCTATTTTTACCCCACCCTGCACATATCTCTTTTTGGCATGGATGCTATATTTCATATATACAAATAGTAGGTAAGAAAAACTAAAAAACATAACTTAATCTACCTAATTGTTCTTTTTTGAATTTGTCCCATTAATGTTTCAGGTATTCCTTATTTCCCACACAGAGGAAACTCTAGAACAAATTTGCTATTACATTAGTAATGTGAGTGTCTCTCCTAAAGCAGGTTTTCTCATAGTTATGTCATAAAGAAATCACTGAAAAATCTGTTCAAAAAATCTCATCTCTAAAACAGATAATGGCTATTTCAGAAGGTTTTAGAAAGAAATATCTCAAGCAAAACTGTTTGTAAAAAAGGTATGCATATGAGGCCAATTAAAAAAAAAAAACATGAGAAAAAATAGTTACAGGCCTCCAAGTATCTTTACTTAATCCTATCTAATAAAAGGGTAATATGCAAATTAACCGTCACTGTCACAAAGATGGCAGTGCTCATAACCACAAGATGGCGGCGCCAAGTCCTCTCAGCCCCTCAGGAGTCCCCCAGTCTCAGGGGGGCAGCCGCTGAGAGCAAGGCTGCTTGAGCAGCCTGGCAGAGTGCTTGCTTCATTGCCACGGCAACGGGGCAAGTGTTCTGTGCCCAGCTGCGGATGGGCCTCTGGCCAGACCACGCAGAGAGCTATTGGCGCACAGATTCGTGCGCAGAGTACTCGTAAAAAAATAAATACCGTAAATTAAACAAATCACAAAACTTTATGGTCAACTTTGTGTTGTTCTACTTTCCTCTAAATCTTTGCTGCTTTACTTTAAATATGTTTAGAGCAATTATATCATTCTTTAAACTAGAAAACCTCAGTGAACTGAAGATGAACAGTTTACTATCCATCAAGTGAGTATAGAAAAAGAGAAAACAAAGGGATGGAGAGAGAGAACAGAATTTAAGGCAACTAAATGCTAAAGATAAAATATAAAATATTATGAAGAGATTCTAACTTTTGGATAGAAGTTAATGATGATAAGAGAAATAAAAAGTTATACCTTAGTCATCTTGATGGACTACTATTCAGTCAGGAAAAGACTACATACTGTGAAATGCCATGAAACAAATGTAAAGGAAAATAAGAAGTATAAAAACTTATATATACAGTTTAATCAGAATTGTATAAATTTACCAACAAAAATGGAAAGAGTATTAGGTGTATAGCTGGCATCTAAAAATTTTTTTGTATATTCTAAACTTGATATAGTAAGTATTATTTTTATAATAAAAATATATAATTTATTTGAAAACAACAAAACTGTACTTTCAGCTTGCTTTAAAATTATTGCTTTTAAAATTAATAGCTGGTTAATATTTTTAATTTATAATTTATATTGGTACATTTCCAAAGTAGCTTTGAGGCAGCTAATAAAAAAGCAACATCAAAAAAGATGAAACAATACAGCAAATCCATAAAAAAAGTACAGGAGAGCAGGTACCAAATAAAACCACCACGAGCCCATGTGGCTCAGTTGGTTAGACATCATCCTGTGCAATGAAAGGTTGCTAGTTCAATTCCCTGTCAGGGCACATGCGCAGATTATGAATTGTGGGCTCAATACTGCACAAGAAGCAGCCGTTAAACATAAAAATGTGACCTTGGGCTATGTTTAGGGCAGTAAGGTTGATTAATGACTCAATCAAATTTAGTTCTCTTAATGGACTTATACTTTCAATAAGTGGTAAACTTTATGAAGAAGCTGTGAAGACAAAATGATTCAGATGAATCTCAGGTAGAGAGCTTTGTCGTAGGCCCAGCCATGTACTCAAGCCATCATTGCCACGATTACATATTTAAACCACAAATTCAGACAATAAGCCTAAATTATGAAATAATAGCAAATGTTAAAATAGCTACTATCTACAACTGGAGAAAATGGAAATAGAGGAAAAAAGTCCTTAATGATCAAAAGCTTCAGATCACTTAACACAAAGGACATTAGCAAATATTGCACTTAATAATGATTTTAAACTTACTTGATTACTGGAGGAAGTGAATCAAGTCTAGTCTCTGGGCTCCAAGCTATGCCACCAACCCTGATTCCATGATGAATTGTTTGTAGTATTTTATACTGAAGGCCTTCAATGTCTGCTTCTTCCTCCTAAGCAAAAACAGGCCATGTTATAATAAGTTATGAGAACAAACATTATAATACTCCATTTTATGATAATAAAGAATTTACCAGGAGACTATGTACAGTGAGTTCTCTTAATGTAATTGATAGGTTTGTGACTTTGGGCAAAATGATATGTATAACAAAACCAGTTTTTTTTTTTTTTTTTTAGAGGCTAGTTAATATAAACAAGAATTATGTTCCTATGGCATATTTCTGGTCACAAAAACATGACCAAACTTGTAAATAAAGACCCAAACAACTTCTAATATTAATCACTGAACTGTGAGCTATACCTAATTATAAGAGCCTATTTATCAATACTATCTAGTTATTTACAAAAAGTTTATTAATGATAAACTTTTTCCTGTAGTAAAATGTGCTTTAGAGTGAAGAAAAATGACCTTAGAAGAAAGGCCTCAGATGTAAGGAAAAGTGAGTAAAAAAGTAAAAAGCAAACAGGTGAGTAAATTAAATAAACATTAGCCAGATAAAACATCAAATTTGTGGGTTAAATAAAAATAAAAATGATAGAGAGCTCGAATATGACAATAGAAGTCTGGAGGGGGTGATAAGAGTTCATGTGTCAAAGGTTCTTGTTTTAAAAAAAATATTTTTATTGATTTCAGAGAGGAAGTAGAGAGAAAGAGAGATAGAAATATTAATGATGAGAGAGAATCACTGATAGGCTATCTCCTGCATGCCCCCCACTGAGTATCAGGATTGGGCCTACAACCCAGGCAAAATAGAACGTAAGACCCGTCAGTTTGCAGGCCGATGCCCTAACCAGCCAGGGCAAAGGTCCTTGTTTTGTTCATAAAGTTAAAGATATTAATTTGGACTTTGTTAAGTATGCATGTTAAAAAGTCTTTGGTAACCATTAGAAGAAAAATGGCATTAAAACAAACTATTAAGAGAAAAAAATGAAAGAGGGGAACAAAACAGACAGAAGACAAAAAAAAAAAAAAAAAAAAAAAAAAAAAAGACCAACGAAAACCCCACATTCCAAAGTTTTCAATAGTAAAAAACTAAAAGTAAACCAAATATCCAATATAGAATAGATAATTGTAGTATATTCGTATTATAAAACACTATACAACAGTGAAAATAAATAAAGTAAAAAATGGAGGAATCTAACAAATATATCAATAGCAACTAACCGGAGAACATAATACAGAATAATTTTATTGATATAGCTTAAAACACGAAAAAATAGATTTGCAACACCTATGGTAACTCAAAGGAGAAAAAAGTCAGAGATGGTTATTTTGGGTAAGAAGGGCAAAAAGGGCAGAATACCCAAGGGGCTTCAAAAGAATTGCTAATATTCCATTTCTTAAGCTAGGTATATAGGAATCTATTTTATTATTAGTCTCTATACCAGTGTTTCCCAAACTTTTGACATATGTGTACCCCTTCTATAATTTTTGTAATGCTGAGCACCCCTCATACTCATGAGAATGTAGAATTAGGCACAGGTAAGCACGGTGCAGGGCATACCCCCACCAAACTCTTCCTGTACCCCTGGGGGTATGCGTATCCCACTTTGGGAAACACTGCTCTATACCATATATTGATAATATATATTTAAAAACACATTTTATAAGCATAAAACACTGTGATTTTAAAAATAAACAAACCATGGTTTTATTATTTAAATCAATACCCTGTGTCTGAAGACAAAAACAGAATGCTTCTTTTTTTTCCTTTTCCTTTATATATATATTTTTTTTCTATTGGTTTTTAGAGAGGGAGAGAAACATTGATGTGAGACTGAAACATGGATTGACTGTCTCCTCCATACCTCGATGAGGAATCAAGCCCACAACCCAGGCATGTTCCCTGACCAGGAGTTAAACCTTTTGATTCACAGGACAATGCCAAACCGAGCCACAATGGCCAGGGCAAAAGCAAAAATTTTCATGACAAAATTTTCCAAAGGAATCTTCTATGTTAAATGACTAGTTATCTTTTATGAAAGTTTATAGGATTACAAAATAGCAGGAAAAAATCTAGAGCAGGTGAAACTTGATATTTAATGGAATACATGTGTCTATATGGAAGGGAATTATCTGAAGGCTTGTTCTAAGAATTGCATTCATCCTAAATCTAAATGCAGAGTTTTATAATGTGTACTTTAACTGAATCCCAGTGGACGTGTTGATTTTTCCAGGGTAGCCTTTGAGATCTTAACAAAGTCATTCCACAAATACATTCTACATCTCTTTCTCTATGTAATTCAGATGTCCCTTGAAAATAAATTTAAATTTCAGATGAACTTTAGAGTTAACAGAAAAAAGTTTTTCCATAAATGAAAAAACAGGTTAAAATGTATTTATCAAGGAAAGAAAAACACTGTCAAATTTTATTACTTTGTAATTTGTGTATATAACTGTATGGCTAACAGCCAGATATACCAAGGCAGCAACCACTAAACAATTTTAAAATAAGGTTGGAAGCCCAATCATAGCTGACTTCATAGTTTGGGCTACATCTATTTTTCTACACTCGACAAATCAATCTTCTAAAAAATGAAGTTTTTACCATCAAAACAGACATTATTTTGCTACTGTAACAACAGTGCTGACAATTAGGTCTTGTATTTTGTTATCCAAAGTATATATGGAATTATTTGGTGGTCATGGGGATAAAGTAATCCCAGGAACTGTACAGTCTGAGCTTTATGTATTGCCAGTGAAACCTTTTTTTCCTGGCAGCGATGTCTGCCATTGAGCCAACTAAAAGGCCAGAGTGTATGTGTGGTACAGGCAGAGACAAATGCTATTTTGGGTGTAGGCAGTATTGTATAGGCAGGAAATTAAGACACTTTGTGAAAAACTTACCATAATACATATAATTACACAAGGCTCCAGCATATTTGAGGTTGGAGCCAAGCCAGGTTGATGAAAGGGCTATTTTAAGGATTTGAAATGGGCAGGCTTTCCTATCACACTCATTCAAGGCCAAGTATAGAATTTTAGTTAGTTTACCTACTCTGCTTCTTTCATTGAATGCTTGAATCTCTAGTACATCATTGAAAACACGAGTTTGCACAACCCTTTTCTGAACACTTTCAGTGAGAGGGAACTACCTATTTCTTGAGGGGAGATTATTCCATTTAGGGTAAATCTAATGAGAAGAGTTCTCTTTAACATGAAACCAAAATCTTTTTTACCTGTAAATTCTATTAAGGACTCCAAATTCTGCTTTCTGGAACTACCCAGAGTAATAATTCTAATTCAGTGATGGCAACTACTTGGCCATAGCTGATTTTCCCTAAGGGGTACAGGCTCAGAGAAGACTTGGCATCACATACAACTGTGAGATTTGTCTTTAAGTTCATTATCTCCTTAAGATCTCTACACACTGCTGAGAACTGAAATAAACATCACTGCCACTTTATAGAGAATATAGAACTGTGTAGTCCAATATAGTAGCTATTAGCCATATGGAGCTTTTAAGCACTTGATATATGTAGAGATCAAGCTGAGACGTGTACATTTTATAGAGTGCAAAATCCATGCCAGATTTCAGAGTTAGTATAGAATATAAAATATCTCAATAATGTTTCATATTGGTTGTACATAAAATACTTTGGATATGCTAGGTAAAAGGTTAATTTCATCTGCTTTTCGCTTTTTATAATGTGGTCACTACATTTAAGTTTATATTTGTGGCTCACATTATATTTCTATTGGACAGTCCTGAATTAGCTCTCTTTGGCAGTTTAACACTGACTCATGGTGAACATCCAGATGATTAAAAACTGGAAGTCATAATTCTCCCTTTTAGCTCTAGTAATCTATCATATTAAGACTTTATATTCATCTTTATTGAATTTTAGCTTGTTCAACTTGACCCATCAATTACATATATTATATAATATTTGGATTCTGAGCAGAGGCTGACATACAGTATGTGCACAGACAGTATGTTAAATGAACTCTGCCATCCAAAACATTAGGTATCCTTCTCACCTTCATGTTTTTGCCTGAGTCAAGTGTTCTCATCCAAGTCCCAGTAGAGGCCTTAATTCATTATTGATGACCCTGTGAATAGACTTAGAACCTTTCATGCTCTCTCTTCCGATACAAATAGGACTATTATACACGTTTTCTTATTACGCTGGTTTACATTTAAACATCTCCTTGAGGGCAGGGTCCTTGCTTTTTTAAACATGTATCACCAGTTCCCACACCAGATCTGCATTTCATAAATATTTGACAAATATATGACATCAATCAATACTATCTTCAGCTTAAATTTCCATCTTTCAAAAGAACACTATCAGATTCGGAAAAATGCTTTGCTGAAATTCATATTCACGATATTGAGAGTTTTTCTTTCACCAGTCTTAGAATAAGATTGCCTTTCTGATAGGAATGAGGAAATCTTTCAGTTTGATTTACCTCAGTTATCTCTCAAGACAAGAGGGAGCCATGAAATTAGGTAGTATGGGACTTGAAGCTTCTATCATGAGACTAAGAACAATGTTTAATAGTGTTTAACTAGATAAAAAACATAACTTCAAAGGGAAGCAATATACTTTCAAAGTTTAGCAAAGGTTTACCAACATTAGCATAAGCTGTTATCAGTGAAGTATCTTCACTGTCATTCACTGTAGTTTCACACACTAACCTGAAATGTACATGTGCCAATGACCACGTAATTATCACCACCATATGCAATTAGGTTTCCCGAATCCCCAGTGTCAAAGGGATTAAATTCTACCACGTGCACACAATCTTCACAATCCACGGTGTAGGCTGCATTCCTTGTAGCATCTTGTTTCATCTTGGATGTCAAAGCTTGAGCAGTTGGTAACAATAAAGTAGCCTTCTACTGGACAAGGTCATGAAACTGTGAACTACAGCACAGACACAGTTAGATAGAAACGGTAAAAAATATTCACTTTCAGCAAATGATCAAAATGAGAACAGACTATTGCAAATACCACAGACAGCAATAATATATATATATATATATATATATATATATATATATATATATATATATATATTTGAAGAGGAAATCACTTTAGTAAATATATTTATAACAAGTTAAAAATAGTTAACATTTACCCTGCAACTTTTTGCAGGTGCCATGTTAACCATTTTACTGACAACATAGCACCAAATATTCCTATAAACCTTAAGAGGGAGGTACTGCCTGCGGTTCCCATTTTACAGATGAGAAAATCAAGACTTTAGGACTTTATAATTAGCTTGCCCAGGTCAGGAGATGAGCCAGAATTTGAAAACATGACTATGTGTTGGACACCAGTGCTAGAGAAGAAAAACAACACAGCTCTGGGCCACGAAGGGGCTCACAGTCTGGGGCAGTGATGGTTCAGCGTGAAAAGAGCTGCATTATCAACAGGTACAAAATACAGGATAGGGAAGGAATGACAAAACGTGTGTCATGAAAATTAAGTATTCACATAACCCGCACAAAAACTTCAGCTAAGCTGTCGTGGTCTGGTATGCACTCTGGACGTAGTATTCCCCAAAGAGACATGGTTTCTATAGGATTTTTGTGTTTTTTTTGTGTTTTTATTTATTTTTATTTTTTATTGGTCGCAGGAGTTGCCCTGAAAACAGTTGGGCTCGATTACAAGCTTATGAAATACCCGATGAGGACGTATTGAGAATCAGATGAGTCCCACCTCAGAAAGCCAAGTAACTAGCAACCTTACAAGTGGGCATCTGGGGTTGAGCATGGAGCTTAAGGCGAGGCACAGAGGTGTGGGAAGGCAGAAGGCTCGCGGTGAGGACACTCGGTCTAAAACAGTGTCCAGTCTCATACATCATCGGGGTCTCACAGTGCACAAGGGGGGTGAGGGGGGCGCGGACATGTGCCAGTAAAACTAGCCCTCCGGGGAGGGGAGGGAATGAGAGGCGATCCTACCCAGAGCCCAGATGCCTCCCCCTGTGGCAGGCAGATCGCTGGAGACCCCGCTGCCGCCTCCCGGAGCCCGAGGTCCGGGGGGACAGGGGCGGAGACCCGCCTGGGGACAGCAGGGCGGCCGGTTAGCCAAGCAGCGCGGCCCCCGGGGCGCCGTGGTACCCACCGGAGGGAAGCGGGAGTCGCCACAGAAGAGGCGGTATCCGCGGAAGACGCTAGAGGCTCGCCGTCGATTCTGCTTCCGGGTCAGAGGCCGGCAGCGGCGATTGGCCCTCAGGCCCTCCCGCGAGATTTAAAAAGGAACTCAAACAGCCGAGAGAGTTTGCGGCTGGGAGGGTCCTCCCTGCAGCTGGACCCGCGTCTCCTAGGTCTCCCCCGAGCCAGGTGAGTCTGGCCTCTCCTCCGTCCACACGTCACAGGTTCAGTGGCGACTCAGGCCGCGGGTTTTTCGGTGACAGGAAAGGTCCGTGGGATTTTTTTTTTTTTTTTTAAGTTATTTGCGCGATGGCTTCGCCCTGGAGCCAGCTTGGGTCTGGGTGTATGGACCGGAGTTCACAGGATCTCCTGGCGGGTGGGGCTGGAAGTCGGAGGCCCTTGGAGGGCTGCTTACGTTAGGCGAGAAGCCAGGGTTCTAGTCCCCAAACCTACGCACACCCCAGTTCGGCTGCCTTCTCCCTGTCCCTGTTATATCCCCCCGAGGAACTTTCTGGACCTACATTCTGACAGCGATTGCAGTGACCACTGTCTTTATTTATTTATTTATTTATTTATTTATTTATTTTTTATTGAGCATCTACTAAGTGCTGGGCACCAGGGGGAGTATTTCCTTGTCTCTCTAATGTCTCATAATCTTTCGGGATAAGAGATATCTTCCCCCCTTTGCAGATGAAGATGTATGTGCTCATCAGATATTTTAAATACCGAAGGGCATACAGCTAATACATGGGGAGTCTGGATGTGGACCCTGATCTCTCTGATCTCACACTGCCTCCCCAGTGATAGTTTCCTGTCTCACAGTGTTTGCTTCAGTGCGGCTTGGAATACAGTTGTTTATTATTATTATTAATAATTTTTAAAACATACAAGTGTTTATGATCTCTGCCACCTTCTACTACTGGTTTTGTGTAGTGCAGACTGACATTCAGAGGGCTTGCATATTCGTTGTCTCACTGTCTCCTCATAACTGGCTGGAAAATATTATTCCTGTTATCTACCTAGGCAGTCAGGTTAAAAGCTGCCTAGGCTCACACAGCCAGCTAGCTCCTGGGAGAGTTGAGACTAGATCAGGGTTGGCAAACCAATGGCACTGCCTGTTTTAGTGCATCCAGTTCCCAAGCTAAGAATGGATTTTTACATGTTTACATGGTTGCGGGGGTGGGGGAGCGTAGAGGGGGTGGAATGGGGGGATCATTAGAGGAATGATATTTTGGGATGTGTGAAAATTATATGAAATTCAAATTTCAGTTTTTATTAAGTTTTAATGAAGCTCATTTGTTCATGGGTTGTTGGTGGCTATTTTCACATGGCAAGGTCAGGTTGAGTAGTTATGATAGAGACTGTATGGCTTGCACTCCTCAAATATTTGTTATTTGGCCCTTTCCAAAAAGTGTGCTGACCCCTAGATATGTGCCAGGCACTGTTCTAAAAGCTTCAATTATATTTATCACTTACTTTTTTTTTTTTTTTTTAAATAAAACTCTATGAGATAGTAACTGTTATTTTCCTTTCTTTCAGTGCAACGAAGCTGAGGCTGAGAGAGGTGATGTAACTTGGCAAAGATCTCACAGCTAGCAAGTAGTGAAGCCAGGATTCAGAACAGTGTAATTCCAGATTCATCTTCATTCTAGAAATCTAAACTCGGTATCTTTAAATAACACTAGTAAGTAATTTACAACTAAAGATTTCTTTCAGGCAAACTGATCATTACAGAAGTGTTACACCCTCACTTTTTTATTTCTTATAAGAAATGAGGGTGATATTTTTAAGAGAAATATAATTCTTAGCTGTTTACTAGGATTTGTTTTTAAGTAGATACTTTACAATCTTATACCTGTAAATTTAAGTTGCATCAGTGATTGTGTCTTTAAGTTATTATTTTGTAAATGGCATATGCCCATTTTCTTGATCATAGAAACCCAAGATACATAGTAAACATCTGAGATTTTGTTCCAAAATTCCAAACTCAGGAGGCACCTATGTGTTCAGCATAAACTATATTGTTGTACAAACAGTTTAAGCACAATGAGCCACTCTTACTAGAAACCCTCCTGAAATTGTGTCCCCAGGTGCCAATCAAGGGTCAGCTTTGTCAGTAGGGCTTCCAAAGGATAGTAATCAGGCCTACTGTATTAACTTTTTCTGCATTGGCCTTTTGAGGTGTAAGCTTGGAACTCCCGCAGTGCCATTCTTGTTACATTCTATTGGTTAAATCAAGTCACAAGGCCAAGTGAGATTCAAAGGGGTGGAAAAATAGACCATCTTTTTTGGGATAATATAATGATGGGAAGAAATTGGCTACCTTCCTCCCCAATCTACCACAGATATTACCATCTATCTTAAAACAAAATTTTAAAACAGTTTTAATTAGCTCTGTGTCTGTAAATTATAAGTTTGCAGAATTGGTGTATCTATTTTGTGTGAATTTTCAGATTGAAGGTTGTATTTTGTTATTTCAAATGATTTGGCTTAAGAAAGCCAAAGGAGAGGAAAATACGATTGGGGAGAAATTGTTTTATTCTGTTTTCCTAAGTTTAATGAAAAGCAATCTTTGTAAACATGAGATGACCTCTTGTTCATTGCTTATTTTTCTCTAACTCTTGCTTGCCTTATACATGTTAAATATTAATTTCCAATTAAAATAAAGCTTTTAATATTGTGTTCTGTCCGACTTTAGGAGGATGGCTGTGCTTCATCAGAAGTCTGTTTTGGATATGATTAAAGAGTTCAGAAGGAATTGGCACACTCTTTGTGACTCTGAGAGAACTACTGTATGTGGTGCAGACTCCATGATCTTGGCATTGCAGCTTTCCATGGCAGAGAACAACAAACAGGTTAGTAGGCTATATTTAGGTTCACTTTTTTAAATATATATATATATTGTTGATTTTTTACAGAGAGGAAGAGAGAGGGGTAGAGAGTTAGAAACATTGATGAAAGAGAAACATCAATCAGCTGCCTCCTGCACATCCCCCACTGGCGATGTGTCCGTTACCAAGGTACATGCCCTTGACCAGAACCCAGGACCTTTCAATCCGCAGGCCGAAGTTCTATCCACTGAGCCAAACCAGTTTTAGTGGTTTGCTTTTTTTTAACAGTGAATTTTGGTTGCTGCTATTTGAATAAACCTCATTACATTAATTTCTTTGCAATAGATGACCTCCTATGATAATATCAATATACTATTTCCGCAAATGCCTCTGCATATCTATGTCAGAAATTACTATTGGATTTTAAATTATTTGTTTCAAAATTAAAGCCTTCATATGTATAATTCAACATAAGACATACACATTTGAAGTTTAATTTGAAGTTTCAAGTTAAACATGCAACTGCTGTGATTACTATGGTTAAAATTATTTTAATTTTATAAGACTTTCCTAAAAAGATCTGGAAGGCACACATAGGTAATATTTATTTAAATATAACCAATTTTATGACTAATTTAAGATTTAAAAAATATATATTTTATTGATTTTTCACAGAGAGGAAGGTAGAGGGATAGAGAGTTAGAAACATCGATGAGAGAAACATCGATGAGAGAGAAACATCCACCAGCTGCCTCCTGCACACCCCCCACTGGGGATGTGCCTGCAACCAAGTACATGCCCCCTGACCGGAATCGAACCTGGGACCTTTCAGCCCACAGGCTGATGCTCTATCCATTGAGCCAAACTGGTTTCGGCACTAATTTAAGATTTTATAGCATAGATTAATTGTTTCTAGACCAGCTATAGATCAGAATCACTTGGGAGGACTTTTGAAATATATTGACTTCTATGCCTCCATCTTGAAATTCTACTCTTTCAATCTGCACTGAGACCCTGGAAATTTTTTTTTTTTTAAATCTCCCTGAAGTGATTATTACATAGATGGCTTGGTCAAAACTGCTGTTTATAACATGAGCTCTAACTAGAGGGCTAGAGGTTCTCAGATTAGAGGTGAATGAATATAGGCTGAAGTGGTAAAGAATTTTAGATAATGTACGTAAAGCAGTGGAAATCTTTGGATGGGAAGGTTTTAAAAAAGGGGTGATGTAAAGGGAAAGTTCAGAAGAAGCCTCCACGGGGAATCAAAATCATGAAGATGGTAAGGAGACTGTCTTGACTAGAGAAGAAGGTTTTTGAAGGATAAAGCTGATTTCCATGGGTCTGTTGGGCTAAGTGATAGAATGACATTCTGATGAATTATTTTAATCCTGTATGCCAGTAGTTCCCAGAATTTTAGATTTCATATACCAGTAAATTTCC